GGGGGGCTTTTTTTGTAAATGTGGGCCACAAGGTGCGAATGCCCCCCCACCACATGGTCCCCCAAGTGACCAAGCCCCCCGTGGGCTGATTTCTGCCCCGCTCCACCAACAGCAAGACCCTGCCCCGACTGGCTGGAGCGCGCTTACTTGGCGGACTATGAGCCTTTGCCTCCCCCATCTGTACGGACCTCTGGGTTCCTTTTCTTTTACATAGGAGCATTCATCTCTTTCTTGTGATTTTTGATCCTCATGCACCAATCCCAAATTCTCATGGGCCGCACACTGAAACTGGGATTGGTCCTGCTTTGGGCAGGGGTTTGGACTTGATGACCCCGAGGTCTCTTTCAGCTCTACGATTCTATGAAACTTGTCAGTCATTTTCTTTCCATCGTTGGGTTTTCTTCGTATGCCCAGGAATGCTAATCAGTGGAATGAATGATGTTGGTTTTTTTTTGTTATCTATCCAGTGGTATCTATGGGAATGTAGCTATTAAAAGTTAGGCTAGATGAGGGTGGGGAACCTGGAGGCTGAATGGGGACGGCCCTCAAGGTTCATGCCCCCCTCCCAAGCATTCGGGAGCCTTCACTGGAGCTCTAGCTTCCCTGCTGCCCCACCACAGAACTGGAGTACACAATCTATTACTCTGGGCCCATGTAGGCTGAGGTGTGTGAGGGGAATGTGAGCAGTGACTTTCTCCTTCTCGGGGGCCATGTCAGTGAGGTGGTTCTTTTTGTGACTTTTTGTTGTTCTTGTTTGGCTTTTTGCTTCTCGCTTTTGTGCAGCCCCTGACTGAATTTTTTTGCGGGTCAGCAGCCCCCAGCCCCAGAAAGGTTCTCCAGCCTTGTGCCGGGGCATACATTTTATACATATGCTTGTAGAACCATTTGATCTTTGTTTAGGGTAAAACGTAACCAATTTCCACCATGCCATTAATTGTCTCCCCCCTTCTGTAACATTTTCCCACAACAGTTTTCCTATTTCTAAAATTTCCTTGGATACCTTCCCGGATTATATGAATAATCAATTGCTGATTTATTTCCTGGGCCTTTGTACAGGCTAATCCTAAGGATGCATTTTCTTGTATTGATCCCATAGTTCCTGCTAACAGTAACATTTCCTTTTCCCCTGTGGTTGACATACTGGCAATATTCTAGAAAATTGTTGTCCCAGCCCTAATTTTGATAAGCATGCACTGATAGGCTTTTCTACCTCTTGTATTTCAGCTGTGCTTGTTTGCCAATACCTCTGTAGTGGCATCTAGTATTCCAGCTCCTAGTGCAGTTCCACCCAAAATGGTTTCCAATACATGCTTTGGGGTTCTTTTTCTTATGGGTCTGACATGATAGCATAATTCTAGCCATGCTGCCCACCCCTAATAAAATGTAGATATGGGGCACAGTGAGCACCTTGGGCACACTTAACCCAGTACAGTCCAACTCAATTTGATTTAGGGATTATATTAGTGACATAATGACTTTCTGATCCAGTTTTATTGCATGTGGTGCATTTAATGGGTGTGTCAAAGCAAATGCCTCACTCAGTTTACGCGGCTAAACAGCAAAGTGAGCCAAACGTGGTCCCAGCAAAGTCGGGCCCAGTAAGGCTGGCTAATATAATCAATCCTAGTATTTTATACCCTTAACCAAACAAGTCTGATGTCAGGGCAAGAAATCAAAGAACTTCAAAGAGGAATTATTATCAGCAAAGAAAGAAACAGGTTTTAGGGAGTAAGGGCTTCAGCTTAAAATAGTTCATTAACACATTCCAACAGCGCATCCCTCTGGTCTCTCCCCACCTCGGTGAAGGCCAGTTCACTCCCTCGTGCAGACACAAGAAACTGAAATGGCTTTTGTTATACAGAATGGCTTCTAGCTAAATATGAAATGGTATCTACAGATGTATCAAGACTAGGGTCTGCTATAGACTGCCAGCTCAGGAAGAGAAAGTGGACAAGGCTTTTCAGGTGTCTCCTCCACATCCGTTTCCTCTCCTGACCTTCCGGTCACTCGCTCCGTCTCTCTCTCCTCCTCCATTTGGGATCCACACTCCCTGTGCTGCATGGGGAGCGCGGAGCCCAAATGGCCGCAAGAAACAAAAATAAGCACAAAAGAATATAGCCAATACTAAAACTACACCTTGCAAAATCCAAGTTCCCACATGTCCAAACCAGCCTCCTAACCAATCCCAGAGGGTCCAGTCTTCCCCCTGCCTTAAGCGTTCCCATTGTTTAATGGGCCATTCATTTGAGTGTTGTTCAGTGGAACTGGAATCATTGGGGTGCCTCCTTCTGAATGTACAGGACTGTGAGCACATATCCAGCAACCTGTGGAATTAAATTCTTGGGAAACTTGGTTCATTAAAAGCATAAACACATTTGAACCTATAGGTTATAACTACTAGGTATTAAAAACAAGATTAAGCATAAGCTCAACATGAATTGTTTGTCCAGCCTCATGCTGGCTGTTCTTCAGGACTTTGTAGATTGCTTCACCTATCGCTGGCAGGTCCTTCTGGGCCGCAGCTGGTACCTTGGCCTCGGTCTTTCAGGACCGTCTACTTCAGGGCTTGGATTGCCGGTACCAAGCCTGGGCTGATCCCCGTCTGCTTCTGGACCTGGGTCTCCGGTACCAGGTCTGTGGTGCTCCTTGTTGGGGCCAACTTCTGTAGGGGCCAGGACAGGTTTGCAATGGGATGTGTGAATCCAGGTGTGCAATCCTTCGCACTTTACAGCAGTATGGGTGGTCAGAAGGACTTGGTAGGGACCCTTCCACCTAGGTTCTAGGGCAGTCTTTCGCTGGTGAACTTTCACGCAAACCCAGTCTCCTGGTTGTAGTTTATAGCACGGCTCAGTCGGGGCCTCTTGGAAGGCGTCCTTAACCTGTGAATGATAGGACTGTACACACCTCATAAGTTCCTGACAATACTTGACTATGCTTCCTTTAATGAGTATGGCATCAGCCAGGTTAATGTCTGGGCTGCTTAACAGTCTCATAGGTCGGCCACATGCAATTTCATGTGGACTGAGTCCAGTTTTCCGATTAGGAGTGGCTCTCATGCTCATTAGGGCAATCGGGAGTGCTTCTACCCATGTTAAACCAGAGTCCTCACATATCTTAGCAAGTTTGTTCTTTAAAATCCCGTTACGTCTCTCTACTGCTCCTGCGCTCTCCGGGTGTCGCGGGCAGTGCAGTGCTTGTCTGATAGAGTAGTACTTTGTCAGTTTTTGAACAATTTGTCCAGTACCAGAGTCCTCACATATCTTAGCAAGTTTGTTCTTTAAAATCCCGTTACGTCTCTCTACTGCTCCTGCGCTCTCCGGGTGTCGCGGGCAGTGCAGTGCTTGTCTGATAGAGTAGTACTTTGTCAGCTTTTGAACAATTTGTCCAGTAAAGTGGGTACCTCTATCACTGGAGATCACCAGGGGTATTCCCCATGATGGGATGTAATGATTTAGAAGTTTCTTAGCTACTGTGATGGCATCCGCTTTCCTGCAGGGATAAGCTTCTACCCATCCCGAAAACAAACAAACAATAACCAGCACATATTCAAAGGATTGACATTTAGGCAATTGAATAAAGTCCATTTGTAAATTCAGAAATGGTCCTAAAGGCGGAGGTCTGGTTGCCGGAACTGTCTTTACAGGTTTACCCACGTTGTGGGCTTGGCAGACAGGGCAAGCCAGACAGTAATCTTTTGCTGCTTGGGAGAATTTGGGAGCAAACCAATTTT